AACCAAAAGATAAACCAGAAAACAATTAAGGACCCAAATAAAACTTAAAAAATTAATCTTTTTAAATGATTGTAGTTGGAATAGAAATGAATTTACATATTTCTCAGCTGTACACGGCACCTTTGGAAAAATGGAGCAGATAATGTGGTATAAAGACTTCACCAATCACTGACTGATCATAATGCCATTAAAAAAAAAAAAAGCCCTTAATCTATTCAAAACTGGTAGACCTAATTCTAAAGAACAGGTAGGTCAAACACATAACAAAAACAAAAATTGCATCAAAGAAAATGACAAAAATGATACCGAAAATAACCATAGAGGAAAGTTATTAAGCTACCAAATTGTCTATTTTAACATTTATGATCATCTTTATCAGTTATTTTTAGTCATGAACTCTTCAATTAATCATAATTACCAGATGATGATTTATTCTTTGCTCCTGCAATTTATTGAAAATGTGAATTTTTATTTCTAAGTTTTGTATATGGACAGTTTGGTACCATTGTGTCTTTCCTCTGTGATTTTCTTCTATCTCCTCAGTACATATTATATACGTACATAGTTATTTGCACGTTGTCTTCCTAGAATGTGAGCTTTGATTAAATTGTTTAGAAAGAGACTCTTGAGAGGAAGGAAATTTTGCATTTTCTTTCTGTCATAATCCCAAAAGTAGTAGAATGCTTGGCACATAATAAATTCTTAATAAATGATTTCTGAGTGTCTTATATTAAAATTATTTGTACCTGTATCTTACAATCCATGATTTTACTAGAATTAGTTGTATTCATGCGCTATTAGCATTTATAGCACTTTAACTTTTACAAAATCCTTTACAAATATTTCTTTGTTTAATGAACTGCATACAAATATATCTCATTTAATCTGCACAACAAACTTGTGAGGTAGGTGCTATTATTATTCCAATTTAACAGAAGAAAAAAATGAATCACAGAGAGTTTGAGGAACTTGTCTAGAGTCATATAGATACTAAGTTAGCCTGGATTTGAACTCTTGATTCCCTAATTCCAAGTCCACAATATATCCCTAGTACCCTCTACAAAATAATAGTTAATACGTATTTCTTTTACGGTTTAGAAAGTACTTTACACTTACTCCATTTGATGTTATCCACTATATGTCAGTGTGAGCTCTATGAGGAGATAGATTACTTTCTTATTCATCTTTCTTAGCTCCAGAAGCATGTACTGCACCCCATGAAAAACGCTCTGCAGCTGAACAACATTTTGTTATTTTGGTACATTTGTTCCATGTTTTATGCCTTTATAAATTCTTTCACCTCTGCTTTCTTCTAATTCAAGTACTAGTGCACCAGAATTAGTCAGAGACTGTCATCTTTACTCATAGAACCATACAATACAATACTGTATTCCTAAAAGGCCTAGTGGGGAAAAATAAACCAACTCTGGAAGACAGACCCATTTGATGGTGGTGGGGAACAGGAGAAAGGGGACAAAAGATTGCCTAGGCCACTGGCCCTTGTAAGTGGATATTGTAAGGTTGGCAAGTTTGCTCAGGGAAAAGGAGTTGGAAAGGAGCCTGGAATGTCAACAGGCCTAGTGAGGAGCTCACTTTCAATATGGGATGGGGAAAATCCTTTGATAGCTTCCTAAGCTAATTAGATGCTAAGCCTTTGTTACTGAAGGAATACTGGAAGTCTTGCAGCAAAGCCATAATGGCTTCACAATATTTATTACTGTCCTTATTTGAGAGTCAAAGAAACTTTTACTCAGGGTGGGGATGAGAAATTGAATGAACATATCCAAAGAGCAACTTACTCTGAGTTAAGTTCAAATATGAACCCGAAGTATCTCTTAATGACAATGTCAATCAACTTACAAAAAAATCTTTAGGGGGCTCTTTCAGGGATATTTTTCAGAGTGCAAAGTCAGTAACTACTAGTACCTCAGATGTCTTCAGTGCCTTTCAACTAGCCTTCTGGCCCTGATAGAGGAAGCAACTCCATCTCCAGAAGCTCAGACAGCTAGACTACCCCAATGTTTAGTCTCCCACTCTCTTGACTTGAATCACAAAATACCTCTTTTTCTTTATCACTGACTCATTTCAATTTTTGTCTCTACAGTGACTCTCCAAAACCAAAATTCTGTACTCTGCTCATACTGTGAGAAATCAACTACCACCAACTATGTTCAGGCACCATACTAGGCACTAGTGATAGAAATACAGTTGAATGAAACCATCTCTACTTGTAAGAAGCTTACATTTCAGTGGGGTATAATAAAAGCTTCTTGAGCTGGATTAGATTCAGATTGCTGTTGTTCATCTTTTTTTCTTAAAGAGGACCAATGACATCAAAAGGATAATGTCTTGACTTGGAAACGAATTGAATTTAAGTGAGGCAGAGCTGTGTAAAGCCATCAGCTTCCTTCTCTCCTCCAGAGTCATTAGAGTCTAATGGCAAGACATTGATCAAGATGACTGCTGATGGCCCAGGACACAAAAGGGGACTTTGACCTTTTTGATTAAGATTTTCCCCATGTCTCAGTTTGTTTGAGGCAAAGCTTATTCAGTAATTACAGGTTAGGTAAGAATTGAGGCAAAAGATGACCTAGTTTGCCTTCATAAAAGAATCAGTGTGGGAGGGGAAGAACTTCAGAGTTTCTGGCAAGAATAGAAATAATTGCTATTAACACTCATTCTGAGCCATCAAAACCAAACAATGAGCAAATAAGTCTTGGGCTGGACCTATTATTGGCCAATCAGTGAATCCCAGATTGATTTGGGTTTAAAGGCATAGTCAAGTAGCTCTATTTGCATCACAATGGGATTTAACAAAGCCTGGTTTTACAGAGGCATATTTCAATTAGATTTCACCACTTAAACAAGAAAGACAGACTTTCCTGGTTAAATTCAGAAACGCTAGGCTGGATCTTCATATATTTTGTCTAAATCCTTACTGGCACAAAGAATAGTATGTACAAGAACATATAGGTTCTAATGTTAGGTGGTGGCTCACTTTGCCAAAGGACTACATCTCACCTGGGCAAATCCTCTGCATAAAAACAACAGACTGGGGATAACTAGCTACAATGAAGCGCTATAGAATGTCAATCTATGAAAATAGACACAAGGCATGAAGAGAAAATCCTAAAATGCAATCCATTACATAATGATGATGTGCATATAAATTTGTTTTTAATGAAGTAGTGTGGAATAATAATAAGACCATTGAACTTGGTGTCTGAAAAATGTGAGTTCAAATATTTCCTGTCACTGATAACTGTGATTTTTGTAGGTGGAAGGAGTTATCATATTGATGAAATCAGATTCTTTCTATTGTATTATAAAAATAAAAATTAATTTCTTTTATTTGGGTATCACAAGCAATCTAACCTTATACATTACTGTAAATTTTTCACTTACTGACCTGGTCAACACCCTTACAAATATATTTCTCTGATTGTCTCATTGTGAGCCTGGGGTTTGGAAAGTCATGCCAACAGAATGTAAACTCCAGTAGCTTTCTATCAAGATGAAAAGATTTGAATCATAGGTATATATATATATATATATATATATATATATATATATATATATATATATATATATATACACACACACATATATGTATATATAATATGTGTATGTATGTATGTGTATGTGTATATATACGTGTATGTGTGTGTGTATATGCATATGTGTATGTATATATGTGTATATACTTATATATATCTGTCCTTGAGAGACCTGAGTACAAGTGCAGAAATGGTCATCAATTCAATTTAAATCAATTATTGAGGATCTACAAAATGACAGACATTGTTTTAGGGGAAAGGGAGCATAGAACCATGAATCAATAACTGGAAGAGACGTTCCTTCAGCATATTCTACTTCTGACCCCTTTTGAGTGACATATTCATCACTATTTAGAATCACGGAATGATGGCATTTGGCACTGGAAGAAAATTCAGAGATTATCTTGTGTGGCCCCTTCATTTTACAGCTTGAGAAAGCAAAAGTATCTGGAGTTGAAGTGATTTTCCCAAGATCAAACATGTAGTCAACAGGAAAAACAGGCCTGAATCTCAGGTCCTTTGATTCCCAAACTAATGTTCTTTCCATTTCCAGGCCCCATTTTCCTTCTTTGTAAAATAGGGGAAATAACATGCAAGCAATAATATGACTTACAGAGAGATGGATTTAGAACAAGCTTAATGACTAGACCTAAAAAATAATTATTAATGGTTTGATTTCTACTTGAACGAGCCCTCCAATATAGTTGCCAAAGGATTTGTGAGTATCCCATTGTTGTTGTTTAAATTATAAAGTTTTTAACCTTTTATCTTTCTATTCCTCCATCATAAAAGTATACAAACAGGAAGTTTTCAAATTAAATCCATGCTATCAACTATAGATGAAAAAAATCTCCAAATCTCTAATAGACAGAGAAGTAAATATTAAAGCAACTCTGAATTTCTGCTGTCATTCATCAGGTTACTAATGACAACACACACCCCTGAAAAAATTTTTAAAAGTAAAAAACAGAAAATGACCAATGTTGAACAAGCTGTAGGAAAACAGGAAGACAGATGCACTATTGGTGAAGATGTAAATTGATCCAGACATGAAGATTATGATGACTCCTTTAAGCTGCCTGATCCATCCTGACTTCACCCCCTCCCTAAATTTGGGACTCTATCAGAGGAAAAACAAAGTCATAAAATCAGAACTAGAAAGGACCTTAAAGATTATCTAGTCCAAACCCTTCCTTGTAGACAGTTGGACAACTTGAGACTTAGAAAACAGAACTAAGTTTTCTCAACTCATATAGTATGTTAGTAGTAGAACCCAGATTAGAATTCAGTTCTTCTGGCCTCTAGCCCAGTTTTCATTCCATTATACCCTAATATCTCTAAAGAGGTTTCTAGAATAGAGATTACTTGGGCTGAGTGGTTTAAGCACGTATTTTCTAAAGGTTCCTTTTAATTCAGGGGTGGTGTGACCAATAAGATTCTTGTCTCATCCCCTAGGTGATGGTGTGGATCCACGGAAGAGCTTTTTTGGTGGGTGATGCTTCAACTTTGGAGGGCCTGTATCTCTCAGCTTTCGAGAATGTTGTGGTAGCCATTCAGTACTGTCTGGGAATCTTTGGATTCTATAGGTAAGACCTGGAGGATGGGAACCCAGTTGACACAAAGTAGTCTGTGGTACTTTCAACTCTGACATTTTGTGATTTTATGTCACTTCTCTTAAGAGGTTCCAAAAGCACACAATTACCTGACCCTGGCAGACAATGTTTGTCTTTCCTTTTGTTTCCTTAGGCATATATATGTGTTTATTAGACTTTTTCCCTAATGTAGTCTCTTTGGGTTCAAGGCTTTAGGCAAGTATAGTGCTTGATGCATTGTGATCATGTAAAAATATAACCAATATTATTGCAAACCTACAGTCAGCTATCTGTACTTAGGGGCTAAAAATTCTTTTCAGTCTAGTTGAGTAAGGATCGATTGAATAACTGCTATGTATTGTCTTATTGAGTGAATATTTACTGAGTATCTTCTATGTGCAAACTATTCAATTTAGCATTTATTAAGTGTATAATATATGCTCAATTCAGTATTAGAGTTCAGAGGAAGGAGGAATTTCAATTGGCTTAGGTCAAATTCAAACTTCCTGGAGGAGATAGGAGAGGGACTGAGACATTTGGATGGGCAGATTGGACAGAAAGACATTCCAGTCAAGAGAAGAGTTAGGGGTTTCCCCCAAGGCCTGCTGGGGATGAAGATCAATAATACTAATCAGTTTGCTTGAGTGCTAGGTGGGGTCATGAAGGCAACAGAAGAAAATTGGAAGACCTGATTCCTACCCTCATCAAATTTTATTTAAAAGAAAAAAAAAACAGGACCCGGACATAAACTTAACAATGCTAAGGTGGTAAGTTGACCAGCATCTAGGTGGCATAGTGGTTAAAGTGTTTGGTCTGGAGTCAGGATGACTTATCTTCCTAAGTTTAAATCTGTCCCCATGCATGTAATAGCTGTGTGACCCTGGGCTAGTCACTTAACCCCATTTGTGTATAGTTTCCTCAACTATAAAATCTGATCTGGAGAAGGAAATGGCAAACCTCTCCAGAAGCTTTGGCAAGAAAATCCTAAATGAGGTCATGAAAAGTCAAACATGACTAAAAAAATGACTGAACAACAACAACAAAAGTTGACCACACAGTAAAAGTAGGAAGCTTAGCATTATTCCATATTTCCCATAGCACCACTTGTTCTTAAAGTAATTGCTGTGTGTTATACTTCTTACAAGGTTCAAGTCTAACAACAACTACATGTGGTAAGTGCTATTGATATCTCCAGTTTATAAATTAGGAAACTAGCTGTGAAAACTTAAGTGACTTATTTGTGGTCACGAATTATGTTTCCCAGGCCATATTTAAATCTGGGTATCTCCTAACTATTAGTCAATCTTTCTATTACATCATGCTTCCTCCCATTTCCTTCCTTGTTATACTAATAGGCACTTTATTTCTAACCACCCATTTTCCTCCTTCCTTCTCTTCTTTGTAGCACAGGAGACGAACATGCCCGAGGGAACTGGGGTTACTTAGACCAAATGGCTGAACTCCAATGGGTTCAGAAAAACATTGTCAACCTTGGAGTAGAACCAAACTCGGTGACCATTTTTGGTTCATCAGCAGGAATTATCAGTGTTTCAGCACTGGTAAGTTTTCAGGGTGTCATGCTCGAATTCAGAATTGTTCCAGAAATGTCTGTTAGCACAGAATGTGAGCCCTAACCTCATGCAGATGTTTTTTATTGACTGCTAATTGCTTTGATTCTTCCACAGGACCATGCTTGATTCTAGGCAGTGAGTTTTCTTTCCTAATCAGGTAATGAAGTAGAGAAGATGAGAATGTAGAGCTTACCATGCCCCAAGACTAACTGTAGAAGTTTAACAGTGAAGGTCTGTGGGACTGAAGAGTTGATTCAGTTTTGTAATGTGTTGTTTCTTTTATAATAAAATAACAATTTACATTAAAAAATACTTAAAATCAGTTTCCTCATAGCTACTCTATGAGTTAGGTAATAAAAGCATTATCATTCATATTTGTACAGATGAGGAAACTAAATTTCTGTGTGATAAAGTGACTTGCTTAAAATCATGCAGTTATGAGATATCTGAGCTGGATTCACAATCAAATTCCAGACCCAATGTTCTTTCCACTCATAGCATCTCTTTGTTGCTCCATTGTTTTTAATTGTGTCAGACTCTTTATGAGCCCATTTTTGTTTTTGTTTTTCTTTTTTGGCAAAGATACTGGAGTAGTTTGTTGTTTCCTTCTCCAGCTCATTTTACTGTTGAGGAAACTGAGGCAATCAGGGTTAAGTGACTTGGCTCAGATCACACAGCTAATAAGTGTCTGAGGCTGGATTTGAACTGAGAAAAATGAGTCTCCTTGACCCCAGGTCCAGCATTCTATTTGCTGTGCCACCTAGCCCTCTCACAGCAACACTACAAAGTAACTAACAAAATCATCGCAATGAACACTTAGCAAGCCTTTCACTGAACCATTGCATGCCCTTCTGAGTGGATGAAAACTCTTGTGATCCCTGACTCCTATTTTCTCTTGACAACTCTGGGCAAACATGGAAAAAATCAAAATATAGTTCTGGGACCCATCTTCCCACTTTCTTTTGTTTTTTTTTTTTCATTTTCTTTCTGCTTAGTACTCTCTTACTTTTTTTGGTTTTTTTAATAATTTATTCTTAGTTTTCAACATTCACTTCCATAAGATTTTGATTTTTAAATTTTCTCCTAATTTCTCTCCTTTCCCATCTCCAAGATGGCATACAATTTGATATAGGCTGTACTTACAGATTCATATGAAAAAATATTTTTATATTAGTCATGATGTAAAGAAGAGTTAGAACTAATAGGAAGAACCACGAGAAAGAAGAAACAAAACAAACAACAAAAGAAAAGGAGAGCAAATAGTATGCTTCCATCTGCATTCAGACTCTAAAGTTCTTTCTCTGAACATAGACAGCATTTTCCATCATGGGTCTTTTGGAGTTGTTTAAAATCCTTGCATTGCTAAGAAAAGCTAAGTCTATCAAAGTTAGTCATCACACAACCTGGTTGTTACTACATACAATGTTTTTCTGGTCCTGCTCAATTCACTCAGCATCAGTTTGTAAAAGTCTTCCCAGGTTTTTAAACAACATATTGTAGGATTATGGTTTATAATCCAATCTGTTATCTGCATCTGTTTGGTGGGAGAGTTCATCCCATTCTCATTCACAGTTATGATTATTATCCATGTCTTTCTCTCCATCTTATTCCCCTCTGTTTGTGCTTTTTTCTCTCCTTCCTCCCTTTCCCTCATCACTAGACTTTTGCTTTCAACCACCACATCCCTCTATCTACCCTGCCTTCTCTCAGCCCCTTCTCTTTTCTTTCCTTTTACCTTTACTACTTCTTCCCTTCCTTCTATCTACCCCTTCCCTGTTCTTTCCCTTTTCCCCTCCTACTTCTTTTAGGGTAAGTTGGATTTCTATACATAATTGATTATGTTATTCTCTATTTGAGCCAAATCTGATGAGAGTAAGGTTTAAACAATGCTCATCTCCCTCCCTTCTTTCCCTGTACTGTAATATGTTTTTGTGCCTTTTCATGTGACGTGATTTACCCTTGTCTGTCTCATCCTTTCCTCTTCTCCCATAACAATCTTTTTTCACCACTTAATTAGATTTTTAATCTTCACATCAAAGTCAACTTACACCCATCCCCTCTGTCTTAGTGTACCCCTTTTTAGATATCACTCCTTCATCTTCAACTCACCCTGTGCCCTATATCTATTTATCTGTCTATATATACATATTGTTTTTCCTCCAACTACCTTAATACTGAAAAAGGTTTCATGAGTTACAAATATCTTTCCATGCAGGTGTGTAGACGGGTCAACTTTCATAAGTGTCTTGTGATTTTTCTTTCCTGTTTACCTCTTCATGCTTCTCTTTAGTCTTGTATTTGAAAGTCAAATTTTCTATTCAGCTCTGGTCTTTAGATCAAGAATGCTTAAAAGTCCTCTATTTCACTGAATATCCATTTTTTCCCCTGATAGATTATACTCAGTTTTGCTGGGTAGGTAATTCTCGGTTTTAATCCTATTGCCTTTGACCTCTGGAACATTATATTACAAGCCCTCCAGTCCCTTAAAGTAGAATCTGCTAAATCATGTGCTATCCTAATTATGCTTCTGCAATATTTGAATTGTTTCTTTCTGGGTGCCTGTAGTATTTTCTCTTTGACCTAGTAATTTGGGAATTTGGCTGCAACATTCCTTGGTATTTTCAATTTGGGATCTGTTTCAGGAGGTGATCATTGAATTCTTTTGATAACTATTTTGCCTTCTGGTTCTAGGACCTCAGGGTAGTTTTCCTTCATGATTTCCTAAAAGATGCTGTCTAGGCTCTTTTTTCATCATGGTTTTCAGGTAGACTAATAATGTTAAAATTGTCTCTCCTGGATCTATTTTCCAGATCATATTTTTTTACCAATAAGGTATTTTACATTTTCTTCTATTTTATCATTCTTTTGTTTCTGTTTGACTTTTTTAATATCTTGATATCTTGATTCTTGATATCTCATAAAATCATTAGCTTCTACTTGCCCAATTACAATTTTTAATGAATTATTTCCTTCTCTTAGATTTTGTACCTACTTTTCCATTTGGCCCATTTTACTTTTTAAACAGTTCTCCTCATTGAGGCTTTGTACCTCCTTTTCCATTTGACCTATTATACTTTTTAAGGACTTATTTTCTTCAGTGTATTTTTTTTCTCTTTGGCCAATTATAGCTTTTTAAGGACTTGTTTTCTATGATCAATTTTTGTCCTTCCTTTTCTAGGCTATTGACTCTCTCTTGCATATCTCTCATTTCCTTTCCCAATTTTTCTTCTACCTCTCTTATCTGACTTTTAAAATTCTTCATGAGCTCTTCCAAGAAGGCTTTTTGGGCTTGAGACCAGTTCATATTCCCTGTTGAGGTTTTGGTTGTAGGTATACTGACAATGTTGTTTTTGTCTGAATTTGTGTTTTGATCTTCCCTGTCCTCAAAGAAAGAATCTGTGGTCATTATCCATTCCTGCTTTCTGCTCATGGTGTTTGCCTATTTCCTGGCTTTTAAAGTCAGTCTCTACTTCTGTGGCAAAGGGTCACTGACCTCATGAGTGCTGGCAGCTGAACACTGTAGGGGTATGGCAGCTTACCTGATGCTCAACTGGGGTCAGCAGCACTGGAGCTTTCAGGGTGGAGGTTGGGAACCTGGCCTATGGAGGACTCCTGCTCACCTGGGCTTCTTTAAAGCACTGGAATGTTTGGCTGCTGGAAGATGTGTGGGAGCCTTGAGTTGTGCTAAAGGACTGGGAGATTTGGCTTCTGCAGAATGGTAGCACAAGTGGTTTTCAGAGCCGGTGTTTACCAGTTCCCTCCCAGTGCTGAGGCACTCAGGGGGTCTTGGTGTTGGTGTTTCCCTGCTCCACCACCCTGGGGCTCAATATCTTTCTTCGGTTTGCTGAGGTGGGACTTGCTGCTGACTTGCTGGGATGCCTTCCATCCTGTACTGCTCCCCATCCCACAGAGCAAGATGGGCCTTTCCCATTAATCCCTGAAGAATCCTGGGCTATAAGACTGCTGTACTCTGTCTTTCTGCTGGCTCAGCTATTTCAGGATTTTTCCTGGAGTGATACATATATATATATATATATATATATATATATATATATATATAATATATATACATATATATATATATATATATATATATATATACATATATATATATATATATATACATAATACATATACATATATATATATATATATACATACATATACATATATATATATATATATATATATATATATATATATATATATATATATATATTTAGGATTTTTCCTGGAGTGATACATATATATATATATATATATATATATATATATATATATATATATATGTGTGTGTGTGTGTGTGTGTGTGTGTGTGTATATATGTGTGTATATATATATGTATATATATATACATACATATATGTATATATATATATATATACATATATATATATATATGTGTATATATATATATGTATATATATATTTGCTTTTAGGCAATTGGGGTTAAGTGACTTGCCCTGGGTCACACAGCTAGGAAATGTCAAGTGTTTGGTCCGAGGCCAGATTTGAACTCAGCTCCTCCTAACTTCAGGGCCGGTGCTCTATCCACTGTGCCACGTAGCTGCCCCTGGGGTGATATTTTCTGAGCTTTCAGAGGTCAGTAAGGGAAGATGAGAGTGATTTACTTTTTACTCTGTCATCTTGGCTCCCAGAAGTCCCTCTTTTTCAAAAAAATTCAAGAAACATTTATTAAGTGCCTATTGTATATTCAGTGTTGCCTTAGGAACTCTGGAACTCATGAAGTTTATATAAAATGTGATTTCTACCTTCATGAAGCAGAGGGAAAAGGCAAACCAAATAATTAAAGCATGGTCGCAACAGGCACTATTGCATTGTAGAGGAAACTATATATTCATCTAGTACTGCTGTAATGGCATACTTGAAGAATCTTCTTTTAAAAAAAATATTTTATTGTTAACCTTTGATTTTCTGTTACCTTCATTTAAAACCTACTCTGCAGACTGAGCCTCCCTTGTGAATAAGGAAATCAATGAAGTAAAAATCATCTGACGCCTTGATTGCATCTGACATTGTATTACTAGTCCCCACTTCCGACATGAGGAAGGAGCAATGTTTCATCATCTGTTCTTCAAAATCTTCCTGGATTTTTCCATTTTTAATAAATCAGTTTTATTGAGTATGTTTCATTGTGTTTGCTTTGTGCATAACTCAGGAATCCTCTTGGCCATGGTCCTTATGTGGACACCCCAGATGGTGCTAGATGCCTGCATATCCTCCTATGGTGGAAGTTGCAGTATAGAATAATCCAGACCAATGTTAGTATCCTTTGATCAGAAATGGAAAGTGCTGTTTTCCCTCCCTGGAGGGCCTTCAGAGCTGAGTAGTGTCTAAGACAATGTTATTGAGGATTCTGCTTTTGTTGTTGTTGTTGTTCAGTTGTTTTCAATCTGATTCTTTGTCTCCTCATTTAGGATTTTCTTTGCAGGAATATTGGAGTGGTTTGCCATTTTCTCCTCTGGCTCATTTTGCAGATAAAAAGGCTGAGGGTAGTGTGTTGGGGGACTTGGCCAGCGTCACACAGGTATTTGAGGCCAGATTTGAACCCAGAAAGCTGAGTCTTTCTGACTGCAGACCTGGCACTTAATGTAGTGTACCGTCAAGGTACTTGTACTAGCTCTTCTTATTGAGAAAATACTTTGAAACTAATTTTCCTGCCATACTCATCTTCAGAGTACAATTTTACACACACACACACACACACACACACACACACACACACACACACACATCAGTCACTCCTACAAAGTTCAGACAACAATCCAGGCACCAAATATTCTCATGTTTCTAAATATGCCATTAATAAGAGACATTTCTCTCAAGTGTGGGCAGTGCCAACTATGTGTTGGGCAAGGATTCTTTCCTCAGCATCTCTCATCTTCATACCCCCTCAAGGAAGTGAATTATTTTGGGGAAGGGTGAGGACGTCCTTAAGAAAGTAGAGAATCAAGAGCTAGATCCAATTAGAAACCTTGGAACAGGGACAGGGAAGATTTACTCACATTACTAGAATACCCTTTTTCAGAGTCTCACTTCTATCCCAGTGAGGATGTAGGAGATTGTGTAGGACCTTTCACTTCAGGGGACCTCACAGTTCACTTCCTAGTTTTTAACAGATGAACCCTGGGCAATGGTGTATCATTAATATCTGTACACATATGCAAGAAGTTGCCTGGGTAAGAATTGATCTGAGATAGGAAACAAAGGAAAACACCAGTCAGACTTCTATCATACAATATTAGGAGTATCATGTTCAAATTATAGGAGCATAAGATCATAGACTGAGAAAGAGTTCTCAGAGGTCATCTGGTCCAGTACTGTTTACTCTGCACACCATCATTTAGAAGGGACGTTGACAGAAAACATTTGAGGTGGAAAATGTGATAATTTTATTAAAGGTAACATCTCCATAGCATTTGAGGTCTGTTTGCTAAGCCATGCAAGGCTTAAAGGAACAGATCATGATTAGTCTAAAGGAAATATCTATAGTTGTATACCTATTTCATCTTTATTTATATCATCTCTATCTATATCCATATATTCACATATGAGAAGGGAGATATGATGACTGAGGGCTTAAATTAAGGAAAGTTAGAGTGGAAACTGCCAATTTAAAATAGAGGATAGCTTCTTAAGAAATATTTAATGAGAAATTTCTAATTATAACAAGGGCTGCCTTGCCATTTAGTTAGTTCCCTGTGTCTGTAGTATTTAATTATTAACTGGATAACCACTTTTGAGAAGTTTTATAGTAGTGGCCAGGATTCATGATTTAAGTGGGGAATACATGACTATATGGCCTTTATGGCCCTTACTATTGCTGTGTTTCTATGAAAAAAGTAGCTGGGATACTTTTGTGTGTTTATGTAGGATGTTTCCTCTTGTGCCAAAAGACCTTTTTCAGCAGCCAATGATCTGGGCTATCATAAATGGACTTTACTGTGCCTTAGTTCCCCTTGAGTGCCTGTTCACTTTTTCTGTCTACTCATTTCTGTTATTTGACATGGAGTTCTATATCCCTTGAAAATGACAGATAAATTATTTGATTATAATTCCACACAGGCAGGGAACTAGCTCATGGTAAATTTAAAAAAATATATATCTAATTCTAGTGCAGCACCTGATTATAATTTGTACCATATTCCTAATCTATCGGCCTTCACATTGGCCATCTTGCTACCATGAAGCCTGTATCTTTAACAATTTTGTTTTGTACATTATCAATGAGTTATTTTCATATGTACTATTAGTGTGGCATGTTTACCTCTCTGTTGTCTCTGCCTGCCATGTTTATAGATGACAGATAAACAATGACTTCTCTCTGTTTTGGTTAACAGCTGTCTATCATTATTAGCATCTCACTTGAAACCATCAGAAGGGATAAGCATTTCGAAGAAGCTATTGCTGAGGATGCTCCATATTGTCACAAATGGATTAACCCATGGTGACTTTAGTGTGTGTGTGTGTGTGTGTGTGTGTGTGTGTGTGTGTGTGTGTACATGTGTGTGACTTACAGAACATTACTTGGGAGGAGAAGTACTGGCTGTGGGTAAAGGTATCGTCTCAAGACCTAAAAGTAAAACAGAAGAAAAAAAGAAACCAGTTTTGTTTTTGTTATCTCATTTATATTGTTAGAGTTATTGTTCATATTTTTCTATTGGTTCTGCTAATTGCATTCTATGTCAGTTCAAACAAATATTTCAATATTTCTCTGGATTCCTCATTTCTCATTGTAAGAACAGTATTCTTTTACTGTAATGCGACATGGTTTTTCAGTCAATTTCCTATCTTTTTAACCATAATTACATTGCTATGAACATTTCCCTTGAAGTATTATTAAAAAGAAACAAAAAAATCAGTGTGTTCAAAGGTTTCCATAGCAAAATGAAAGTTCCTAAATGTAACTGTAAGAAAAATGTCAAACATATTAGGTAAATTTATGAGTTCAGTTAGTAAAACAACCAGATTTTATGAAGTACTTACTATTTACTAAGTCCTATGGCAAGTGCCAGGGATACAAAGACAAAAATAAAATGAGACTTCCCTTAAAGTGGTTACATTCTTCCAGGAAGCCAATATGCTCATTTGTAAATACAAATAGACAGAATATATACAAAAATCAATACAAGAAGAAAGCACACAAAGAAATCTTGAAAAAACAGTGATGAAATAATGCAAAATGGAAAAGCTAAAGCTGAAGGGAATACATATTTTCTAGGATCACATGAGAGAGATAGTATTTTTTGAGCATGAGTGGATCTACCTTGATCTACCCAATCAGTGTTATTTAATAATGCTATAACTAGCCATTTTGGCATTTGGGGCAAGGAGCTAGAAATATGCCCCAAAATCAAAAATTTAAGATTAATGGCAGAGACACGGAAAGGCAGCGAGTGACAGAGACAGAAACAAAGAGAGACAGAGAGAGACACACACACAGAGAGTTTGTGCTAGTGCTAGATGCTGGAAATATAAAGACAAATAGAGAATTTCTGCCTTTAAGATGTTTGTATACCTTTAAAAAGAAACAACAGCTAAAGATACAATTGATAGTCTACTTCTAGGAAAGCCTCCATTGGATGGGGCAGAGGAGCCCTACAGACCTGAGACAGGAAGGAATTCACTTGAGGAGGGTTAGTCAAGAGGAGAAATTTTTCTTTCTGGTGCCTTCCAACTTTAATTCTTTGGGGAAATGTCTAAGTGATTTCAATAGTTGAGGAAATCCTGATGAGAAAAACTCTACTTTAGAAGCAAATCAACAATAAGAGATACTAATAAGTTGTCAGCTGTCCAAGGTTAAATAGTCAGTATATGTCAGTGATAGGGTTTAAACTCAGGTTTTCTAATTTCAAGGCTGGCCTTCTATCCATACCACAACTAGTCCAGCTTTCTTCATTTCAACTAATGTTTTTTTTGTAGCAGGATGCTAACTGACAATTTTTATATTGGTGAAGGAGTATTGTCAACATCCTCCCAATGTCCTCAGGCAAAGCTACAATTTTCTTACCCTAGTTAGATTTCTAATCCTAAATCATAATCTCAATTCTTTCCTTTTTGTCCCCTTCAGGTTCTTTCTCCTTTGACAACGAATCTCTTCCACCGAGCCATTTCCCAGAGTGGAGTTGCCATTATGGAATCCATATTTATTTCTAACATCAAATCAACAGCTGAGGTTGGTTTTTGATATTACATGACTCTCCAAAAACTTGACTCCATTTACAGATTTAAAGGGATTTAGAGTTATAAGGAATATTAGAAATAATTTAGGGATGTCTTCTCATTTTCCAGAGGTAAAAATGGAATCCCTGCATAAAGAATTGACTTGTCTAAGTCACAAAGAAATGTCTTTGTTAACTATTTTTTTTAAATTAGCAAGCATCTGTTTTCTGGTTTTTTTTCCTTCAAATTCACTTCCATACTAGAAAAGAAAAAAGAAAAACAGCAAAAGTCTTATCATAAACATGCATAGTCAAGCAAAAATTCCCAGAATGGCTAAGTTAAAGAATGTTTTTCTTCTCTTTCATATTAGTCCATCATGTCTCCCTCAGGAGATAGACAACATTCTTCAATGTCAGTCCTTTGGAATCACAATTCATAATTTTGTTGATCTGTGTTCTTAAATCCTTCAAAACTGTCTTTAAAATTCTGTTGTACTATACAAATTGTTCTCCTGGTTCATCTCACTTTACTTTGTGTTCAGTTCATACAAGTCTTCCCAGATTTCTCTGAAACCATGTCCTTCCTCATTTCCTTGAATACAATAGTTTTCCATTATATTTATATAGCATAATTTGTCAACTATTTCCCATTTATTTGACTTTACCAAAAGCTTTTCTAAGTATATTTGTACATATAGTACCTTTTCCTCTTTTTTTTTATCACTTTGGGCATATAAGTCTAAAAGAGTTATCTCTAGGTCAAAAGGTATGTCTAGGTTAGTAATGTTTTAGCAATAGTTTCAAATTCATTTCTAAAATGTCTAGACCATTTCATAACTCCATCAATTGTATCAATGTCCTTTTTCTGAATCCCTTCCAACTTCTATAATTTTCCTTTTTTGTCAATTTTTCCAATCTGATAGATGATCTCAGTGATGCTTTCATTTTTTCTAATTATTGATGATTTCAAACATTTTAAAAATGAATTTTAAGTACCTTGGATTTTTTCACTTGAGAGCAAACTTTTCACATATTTAATAATTTATCAATTGTTGAATGATATGCATTCTTACACATTTGAATCAGTTCCTGATATATCTTAGAAATGCAGCCTATATCTCTCTACTTCACTGTTTCTCTTTTAATCCTAACTGAACTGGATTAGTTTTTTGAATTAAATTATATAATCAAAATTCTTTATATTCTGCTATCTTCTCTGTTCCTTGTTTGATTGGGAATTTTTCCCCGTTCGTTGATCTAAAAAGGTAATTTCTTCCTTGACCTCTATTTGTTTACAATACGGCCTTTTATACTTAACTCATGAATCCATTTAGAAATTATCTTGATACATCACATGAGGTATTGGGCTAAGCCAAGTATGTGCCACATTGCTGTCTACTTTTCCTAGTAGGTTTTGTCAAATAGTAAGTGTTTACCCCGATAATTGAGATCTTCAGATTTATTGTTTCAGCAAGTAGTGTGCCTAATCTATCTCTGTGATCATAAATCACATAGGAAGGAGCAGGGTTTTTTGAATTTCACTTTTCTGGCTTCCATTCTGAAAATTTTCCCAGTGTACTATGTCCCACCTTCAGGAATATAAGGTTGTCCCTGTCAAATTTTGTTACAGAAAATTGCAGCCTTTGCTGGGTGTAAAACAACCATTTCAGCCAGCATGGTTCACTGTATGAGGCAGAAGACAGAAGAAGAGATCTTGAACTCTGCTTTAAAGATGGTAGGTGTCCTTAGAGTTCTGACCCCTTGTCTCTTTACTAAGAATCATTTTATATGATCTCCTGAGACCCCTATGGCTCTAGGCTATGGGGAGGTAAAACAATGGAGGAATGGGCTAGATTAAGGGTAACAAAGAATTGGTAGTTTGGGTGTAGGCAATAACAAAAGGCCAGTTGATGGGATTATAGCCTCAGGCAAACTCCAGAGATTTGGCCAAGTAGGAAAGTCTAGGGTTTTTCCTTTTTGGAGTCTAGATCCCATCCTCATAATTACCACCATTTGTAGAGATCTAGAGCTCCTGAAATTTCTTTGGGTGTGTGAGTGGGGCATAATGAGTCAAAAAGGGGAAAAAACATCTTTTAGAATAGTTCCCAATATTGGACTTGCTCTCTGTGAATCTAGGACTGGGAGGCCTTGGATTTAGAATCATGTATTTTTTTTTTCAGCCAAAGAAAAGGTTTATTAGAACATCTATCATATTAGAGTCAAACCATTAAAAAGTCTGAACATTAGTGAACTATTGGCTAGATTATAAGAATCAGAGCAGTGGCTAGATTTTAAGAATCTGAGCCTCTGCACTAACTTCAATATTAGACATTCAAAAGTCTTGGACAAAGTGCCCCTTCGTTGGCATATATGCCTCTTCAGGCTTTTCTTCTAAAGGACCAGTTTGGGGAAATTGTAGGTAGCAGAGCAAAAGCCCTTGATTTTCAGGCCGTTGCTCCAAGTTAGAATTCTAAGAGACCTTGTGACTCTCTTCATGGATTCCATAGCCTGGCTTTACTCCTCTTGTGAAACACAGGCAACCAGAAATCCTGTGTACTTCAGACCTGAACCTAATCTTGACAAAATATGAAAAAATCAGGTAAAGCAGCAAGAGAAGCACTTCCTAAGAAATTTTTCTCACCCATTTTTTTCTGTCTTCACAGGAACTATTCAGCATGGATTTCATGCGAGATCCTACACTGGTTAGACATCCTTGTTGTTTTTGTTTTTTTTTAATTATTTGAATCTTGATTTCTTTAAGTTCCAGGTAAACAAAAAGAAGGCAACCCTATTTGAATGGAATCATTTCAGTCCCATAGCCTTGAGAAGTAGTCTGCCCCATTCTCAAGCTACTGTCAAGTTAACATTCCATAATAACCACTAATGAAAATGCCCTCTTCAAGAGGCCAAAGTTGTTCTTTTTCACTTTCAAAGCAGCACCCTAGGGAAATAACTGGGCTTACAAATTATTTCATAAGTTGTAAGAGATGTTGCCAAGGCTCCAGGCAAGAAAGTCTATGATTGTTAATGTCAACCACCTCTTATGTATCCTAGGAGGATAATGTCTGTAAGTCTTTGCTTTGGGCTAATTATTAAGAAGAAATGTTGTGGGACTGATTGGCCATATAAAGTACAGAGTGTAGATGTTTATCACTATCCTCACTTTACAGGTGAGTTAACTGAAGTATAGAGAGTAAGTGACTTGTCCATTATATTTTTCCACTCAGTTGTATAATAATAAATATTTTCCCTGGCTCACATCACCATCACTAAAGTTAGTCCCCATTTCAATATTTGTAGAAGACTCTAGGGCCACATTTTAATTTAAATTATCCTTTAAATTCCACCTGCTCCAAGGAATGCTCTTGAAGAAATCAAAAGAGAAAAATAGTAATAAAAAATATTAAAAATAATAATTTCCCTCCAACCCCACTGTGTCTAAGTTTGGAATTTGGAATCTTCCCAGATTCTTACCCCATCCAAACATCCATGGTTTGTATGTATAAATGTTTCCTCTCTTCTTAGCCCAGTTGCCATATTGAACTGATGACCTGCAGTCCGTTTTGCACTAGTGGCATCATGGTACAGTGGAAAGAACCCTGGAAAGAGTCAGGTGATGGGAAATTAGTCTATAAGTCCTGATTCTGTAGCTTAATAATCATTATACTTGGAGTACCTCACTTCCTCTCTGAGCCTTAGTTTCCATCTCTCCAAGTGGAGGACATATAGAAATGTTAAGTTCATAGGTGAAAATGAAAGCTTTGAGAACAGGGATTGCTTAGGTTTTATGTTTGTATTCCCCAGGGCTAGCCCACAATAAATATTTGATCAATATTTATTGAATAACAGAGTTAGACTAAACTATTTCTAAGGTCTCTTTTATCTCTCAGAATTAAAGAGTCTATGATGCTTTTTAGCCATAGTTTCCTCATAGATAAAATGGAATTATTACATAGTTATGACTAAATCTGATAATGGGTGTTGGTGTAATTTACAGGTGGGACAATTCTGTACTTACACATACTTTTATTCACTGACTCACAAAATTTCAGAATTAGAAGGACCAAAAGTAGAATGAGAGTTAGTGGGTTCATCCTTATCAGAGGGGAGATCCTGATACAATCACTTTCAGGTATATTATAGTGGGGATTAGATTTGTACATCTGTTCATTTTGGCCTCATAGACTAGACCTAGGAAAAGTGAATAGACATAGGAAACCATTCTTAATAACCAGAAATATCACAAAGTGGAATGTTCTACCTAAAAAGGTAAAGAATTCTACCTCATCGGAGGTCTTTTGAAGGATATCTATTTCTTTGGGTATGTTGTAGAAGGGATTCCTTTTCAATTGTGGGTTAGACTAGATTGCACCTGAGCACTTTACAACTTTGAGATTCTTAGTTTTGTAACAGGACTATCACACTTAAAACAATTAAAATGCACAGTAGATAGAGCATTAGGCCTAGAGTCAGGAAGATCTGAGTTCAAATCTGGCCTCAGATACTAGCTGTGTGACTTTGGGCAAGTCATTTAATCCAATTTGCCTCATTTTCCTCATCTGTAAAATGAACTGGAGAAGGAAATGGCAAACCTCTCAAATATCTTTGCCAATAAAACTCCAAATGGGGTCACAAAGCTTTGGACATCACTGCAAAATGATTGACAAAATATTTTCATTGGCTTAATCTAAATTGGTATAGAAATATAACCAGTTGTGGGTTTTTTTTGCTTTCCTCATAGCCCTATAAAGTACAGAGTGTAGATATTTATCATTATCCTCATTTTACAGGTGAGTTAACTGAAGTATAGAGAGTAAGTGACTTGTCCATAGTGTCATAACTATGGAATATTGACTCAAACTTTGTATTCTTGGCTCTGAGATTGGTGGGTTTTTTAAAATATTTATACACACACATATACACACATATACATACATACACATATGCATATATACATATGTACATACACATATGTATGCATATGTGTGTGATTATAGGATGGAGAGATCTATATGGCTAGTGAAAGGGTTCCTAAGCTCACATCTATGAACTTGATTTTTGAAAAAGCATTTTGATAATTGATATATTTCTATATGTCAAATTAATATGTTTCAATATCATTGCTTTCTTTTGTAACTCTATTTAATGCATTTTAAAAAATTCTGAGGAGTCCATGCCACAAAAAATATACGAACACCTGGGTTAGAGTAATCTTGGAAGGTTCCTTAGAGAATGTAGTACTTAAACGTTGTCTCAAAAAGATGAAGACACCATTCAATACTTTTCATCTCTGCAACAAGGAGAGCCTTTTACTAGAGGTTAATTTTTATAAACTCATATTTTTCTACACATTTGACCATATTAACTGAATTAAGTTTACTTAACTGATTGTCTAATCCATTATATTTGAATCAATTATAAGAGAGGAAAATGTAAGTGGTTCACAAATAATCCATTGGTGAGATAAAGATAGTACCCATAAAAGTCCTTGTGGTTTAGAATAAACCTGCAGGCTCTTGTCCCTCCTCACCTCATCAATGAATGGGGAGAATGTGTCACTCCATAGTTCATAGAAGAAGGTAATTAAACATATCACATAGTTTAATTCTCTTAGAGCTAGCATGAGAAAATGTTTGTGTTATTATTTTTTCCTTTCAGAAAATTGTATTGCCTCCTACAGTTGTGGATGGAATATTTTTCCCCAAGAGTCCCAAAGACCTCCTCACTGAAAAGCAGTTCAATCATGTCCCCTATATTGTGGGATTCAACAGCAATGAATTTGGCTGGCTTCTTCCAACTGTGAGAACACTGTTTTTCTTTATTCTCATGTTTCTTCTCTCTCCAGGACCAGAAACCTCCTACTGATTAACTCAAAAAAAATTGTCTTCTTTGTGATGGAACCATTCTGTTGTGTTAGCACTGTACTTCTCACCCTTCACATAGGACTGTATTTCCAAAGAATTGCTCTAGACAGTGTTCAAGTTATTGGAGATGTAAAGATGGCATTTAGTACTCCCTAAATCAAAGATCAGTGAACTTAGAGACCATCTCATCTAATTATTTCATTTTGCAAATAAGAAATCTAAGGTCTAAAGAAGAAGGGGTCATCAGGAGGCCACACACGAGTTAGTAGCAGACTTAGAAATAAAACTTAGTTCTTTTCCCTTTTGGGGTTCTAGTCCTACAACACAGTGCATAGGATCCTCATGCTCCCTCCAACTTCCTAGTTGACCATACTGGTTATAGGAAGTCACTGTAGTTTACTGAGTGGGTGTAAAAGAGGTGGGGAGACATGGTTTGATAACTGCTTTAGGAAAAAAATCATTTGGGCAGATTATTGGAGTATGAATTCAGTGGGGAGTGACTTGAAGCAGGCAGACCCACCAGCAGGCTATTAGAATAGTCCAAGCATGAGTTGATGAAGCCATACACTGGAGTGGTGGCAGAAGAGATGGGGTCAAATTTGAGAGGTGTTACAAAGGTCAAATGGACAGGCTCTTGGCAGCAGCTTGGATATGGGGTATGAGAGATAATGGAGAACCAAGGATATATAAGACTTAATGGCCAGGAAGTGACCCATTGGCCAGCCTTCCAAACACAATAAGAACCCTAGGATGTTTTTTATCAGTTGGATAAATTTGAGGCAACTATTATTTTCATGATTTAAAAAATCATGTTCCTATTTTTTGTAGTTTCTTGGAATATTTTATAGACTAAATGAATTCATTGATCTAACCCAACTTGAAAAATCTTAATTCAATGACAGAGTGGCTCTTCTTCACTTGTTTCAAAAGGAATACTTTACTTCATTTGTTGACTGCCATTGCTTTTTGTAAATTTTCATTTTTATGAATGGAAGGGACTTCCAAGAGCCAAGATGGCGGAGTAAAAAGTAAATCAATGGAACTCTCCCATAGTCACTTTCAACAAGCATAACATAGTGTCCCCCAAAAATCCTGGAACAGCAAAACTAGCAAAAAGACGCAGTGAAACAACTTTTTAGCCCAAAATCTTGGAAGATCAGCAGGAAAGATCTGTCTCACTCAGGTAAAAGGAAAGTGCAGTCCAGGACAGGAAGCATCCCAGTAGGCCAGCAGCAATCCCCAGCTTAGCAAACCAGTGGGAGATCTTGAGCCTCAATGTGGTTGAGCAGGCAAATGCCAACACTAGGACCTCCCAGGTGCCCCAGGATAGCCAGGGGAATGGATAGATCCCAGTGCCTAGAACCACCAAGTGCTTTAGCATAGCCCTGGGCAAACACATAGATACCAACTTAAGGGTGTTTAAGCAAACAGGCAGCCACTAAGAGGGCCCCAACCATGTGCTTCAGCATAGCCACAGGGAAATGTAGAACCACTCTACCAGCCTCAGCACACACCAGATAACACCATTAGAACCCTGGTTAAGCACCAGGTAAGTTGCCAGACCCCTAAAGCCTCCAGCAGTACCAATCACCCCCAGCGAAACACCAGACACAAGAGTCCCCCCATGGGCATCAGGGCAACTTCTGTGCTGCACCAGGTAAACATCCAGGGCCTGCAGCCCTTGGCACAAGAAGCTTGAGACAGTGTCCCCAAAAAAAGAATCTGACCATAGAAAGTTATTATGGTGACCAAGAAGACCAAGACACAAATTCAGAAGAGGACAATAATGTCAAAACACCTATAGGCAAAGCCCCAAACAAAAATAGGAAGTAGTCTCAAACCCAGAAAGAATTCATGTAAGAGCTCAAAAAGGAGCTTAAAAATTATATTAGAGAAGTAGAAGAAAAATTAGGAAAAGAAATTATAGTGATGCAAGAAAATTATGAAAAAAAAAGAGAAATAACTTGGAAAAAGAAATTGGCCAAATAGAAAAGGAGACACAAAAATCCACTGAAGAACACACCCCCTTAAAGAATACAATTGGCCAAATGAAAAAAAAAAGATACAAAAGATAACTGAGGGAAATAACCTGTTAAATATTAGAATTGGATGAGTGGAAGCTAATGACTCTATGAGACATCAAGAATCTATCAAACAAATCCAAAAGAATGAAAACAAAAATAGAAGAAAATTTAAAATAATTCATTGGATAAACAACTGACCTGGAAAAGAGATCCAGGAGAAACAATGTCAGAATCATTGGATTACCTGAAAGCCATGCTCAAAAAGAAGACCTGGACGGCATCTTTCAATAAATTATCAAGGAAAACTGTTCTAATGTCCTGGATTCAGAGAGCAAAATAGGCATTGAAAGAATCCACCAATCACCTCAGGGAAAGGATCCCAAAATGAAAACTACAAGGAACATTATAACCAAATTTTACAACTATTAGCTCAAAGACAAATACTGCAAGTGGTCAGAAAGAAACAATTCAAATATTGGGGAGTCACAATCAGGATTATAAAGGACTCAACAGCTGTAATATTAAAAGATCAAAGGTCATATAACATGATATTTCAGAATGCAAAGGATCTAGGACTACAACCATGAATCATCTACCTGGTGAAATCAAGTATAATACTTCAAAAGAAAACATGGTCATTCAATAAAATAGAAAGATTTCAAGCTCTCATAAGATCAGAGTTGAACCAAAGAAAAATGTTCTCCAATATTGACTTGAGATGCCTAAAAGGGTTTAAAAAAACATAAGAGATTCAATGAAGCTAAAATGTTTACATCCCTACATGGAAAGATGATACTTCTAATTCTTTAAAATTGTGTTACTAATAGAAGGAATGTATATAGACAGAGGGTAGAGGTATCAGGTGAACTTGAGGATATGACATAAAAAATAATTAAGAGATGAGAAGGAGGCATACACTGAGTACAGAAGGAAGTAATAGGTGGAATGGGACAAATTTCACATGAAGAGGCATGAAAAACAAATTACACTGAAGGGAAAGGTGGAAGGGTTGGCAATGGGCATTGCTTGACCTTACTCTCATCAATATTGGCTCAGAGGGAACAACATTCACAATCAGTTGAATATAAAAATCTATGTTACATGACAGGAAAATAAGAGAGGAAGAGATTAAGAAAAGAGGGGCAAGGAGGTGGGAGACAGAAGCAAGACACTGATGAGGAGGGAAAGGGGAAAAGGAGAGAGAGGACAAACAGGAGGAAAAATAGAATGGAGGATTTCCCTCCATCACACAGTTTTAGTCATAACCGTAAATGTTAATTGAACGAACTCTCCCATAAAATGGAAGTGGATGGCAGAGTGGATCAAAAACCAGAATCCTACAATACGTTGTTCACTAGAAACACACTTGAAGTAGAGAGAGACACACACAGAGTAAAGGTAAAGGGTTGGAGAAGAATCTATTTTGCTTCAATAGAAGTAGAAAAATCAGGGGTAACCATCCTGATCTCAGACAAAGCAAAAAAAAAAAGAGACCTAATTAACACATATAAAGAAGGAAACTACAACTTGTACAAGATACTATAGACAATGAATAGTAATACTAAACATATATGCACCAAGTGGTATAGTATCCAAATTCTTAGAGAACTTAAGTGAGTTACAAGATGAAATAGATAACAAAATTATACTAGTGTGGGATCTCAACTGTCCCCCCTCAGAATTTGATAAATCCAACAAAAAAAATTAACAAGAGAGAAACTAAAGAGGTAAATAGAATATTAGAAAAATTAGATATGATGAACCTTTGGAGAAAACTTAATAGGAACAGAAAGGAATATGCCATTTCCTCAGCAGCATATAGCACCTACATAAAAATTGACCGCGTATTAGGCCATAAACCCTGAAAAACCAAATGTAAAAAGGCAGAAATATTAACTGTTTTATTTTTGGATCATAATGCAATAAAAATGAAATTCAACAAAGGGCGATGGAAAAATAGACTAAAAATTAATTGTAAACTAAATAATCTAATCCTAAAGAATAAGTGGGTCAAAGAACAAATCACAGAAACAATCAATAAATTCATTAAGGAGAATGACAACAACGAGATAGCATCCCAAAATTTACAGGATGCAGCCAAAGTTGTATTTAGGGAGAAATTTATTTCTTAAAATTCTTACATTGGGGCTTTTGCTTCTGTGAGCCAAGATGGCAGAATAAGAAGTAAGTCATTCTTACCCTCCCTTATTAACCTCTGAAAGCCCAGAAAATATCACCTCAAGAAAAACCCTGAAATATTTGAAACAGAAGAAGGATGGGATACAGCAGTCAAGTAGCCCAGGTAGTTTGAGGGATTAATGGGAAAGGCCCCTCTTACCCTGGGGGAAGGGAAGCAGTATAAAATGGTAGGCATCCCAGAAAGCTAGTGGAAAGCCCCATCTCAGCATACGAAGAGGAGATTGTAAAACCCAGGTAGTGGAGCACGCAAACACCAACACCAGGACCCCCAAGTGCCTCAGTGAGGGCAAGGGAATCAGTGGAAACCAGCATAGAGAACCACCATGTGCCTCAGCATTCTACAGCAACCAGGTCTCCCAGTGCCTCAGCAAAACTAAGGGAAGCAGCTTTCCAAGGAGCCCCAGGTGGATAAATATCCTGCAACATCCATCTGAAAGGGGCTGAAGAAAGCAAAAGAAAGGAAAGGCCCAAGTGAAGAGAAATCTCCAGGAATCACACTAACCAATCCTATCCCTAGAATTACAGTGTTGCTGATTCCAGCCCAACACCAGGTAAGCTTCCAAAACCCTACAGTCTCCAACTGGGGGCATTGGAGGCCCCAGCACACAAAGCCAGTGACCAAGCCCAAAGCTCCAAACACAAGAAGCTTGGAGCAGTGCCCTCTGCACTGCAGCAGGAGGATTAATCTCTTTAAAGGCCAGGAAATAAGCAA